ATGCTTTTCTGCTCTATCAGTTGATGACACATATGTTCCCAAAGAATTCCATGCTGATACATTCACCTTCCATGCAGACATATGCACACTTCCAGAGACTGAGCAACAAATCAAGAAACAAACGTGAGCAATATTTCATTATCACATGTTTATAGTCTTGATGAAGAGAATATTAATTGAAAGGAGCAAACTGTCTCATGTACTGATTATACTTCTTAGAGTAATGTACTTAAGTATTGGCCTTTTTAAGTTGATAAAATTGTCAAGAATAAAATGAATGGCTTTTTGCCCTTAGGGGGCAAAAACTATATTATTAGACTCTTATCTGCAAACTATTCATAGTGATATTGTGGATGAACACCCCAGTAGAATAAGATCATAGGCCAGGTCCATGAGAAAAGGCTGAACATTTAACTGATGAATTTGTATCCAGAGGCAAATTAGTTGTAGAAATCATAGGGGAATTTATTTCTAGGAATGAATGGTACTTTAAGTTGGCTCTAGAGTGACCCCACAGGTGAGAGAAAAGCCTGTGATGTGACTTTTGAGAATGGCAATTGAACAGAAAACATCTAGAAATGTGAGTTTTGAGGCTTAACTTCTCAATGCTATTACAAAAGGTGACCATAGCATGAACTTTAGTATCAGAAAATTGCTGTCATCTCTGGTGGCCTGTAGTCATGATCCATACTTATAAATAATATTTCAAAACTTATTATTCCCACATAACACACTCTGTGTCTCTGTTGTCTTTTCAGATGTCAATGAAAGGGAAACACCACCTCCCACTTGTTTGAAATCTTAACCCGTATAATCTCCCCATAATTAACTTTGAATAGGGAAAATTTCAAAGATGAACTTTAAAGATTCTTAGAGAAGAAGATTTTTCAGTGACGTTTAATGTCTTAAAAATTTAGAGGTTATTTTAAACCCTGCAATATCGATAAAAGTCAATGTGTCATAGCTTATAAAATCTGAACCATATCCAAATGCCACAACATACACTTTCTGGAGATCTGCTGAAATTCTAAAACACTGAGTGATTTGCCCTGATTATCTGATTCTCCCACCAGCCCTATGATGTGGATTTTATTAATCTCATTTAAAATTAGAATGGCATGCCTGGCCTCAAGCCCCGAACTGCCTGGCTCCAAGATTTATAATCTTTTGTTTGTTTTGGTACTGAGGATTGAACCAGGGGTGCTTAGCCACTGAGCCACATCCGCAGCTCTATTTTATGTTTTATTTAGAGACAGGGTCTCGCTGAGTTGGTAAGTGCCTCCCCCAAGTTGGTGAGGCTGGTTTTGATTTTGTGATCCTCCTGCCTCAACCTCCTGAGCTGCTGGGATTACAGGTGTGCGCCACAGTGCCCTGCAAGGTTTATAATGTTAAGTGCCATTCTTATATCCTTCATATTTCTTATATTCTTAAGTTTTTCTTGCTGTGTCTTTCATTTTCTGTTCAAATGCAGAGCACTTGCTGAGCTGGTGAAACACAAGCCCACGGCAACAATTGATCAACTGAAAACCGTGATGGGGGATTTCGTAGCTTTTCTAGACAAGTGCTGCAAGGCTGACGACAAGGATACCTGCTTCTCCCAGGAGGTGCTGGAGCTGCTTTCATTTTAATATTTCCAACTTTCATTTTTGTGCATTTGGTCAGGTCAGAGGTCAGGGACTTAGGTTTTGAAAGATGCATGGAGCAGAGATCTTATTCTATGAACAATTGTCTTACAAAATAAGTTTAGTAGTTCTTGGTTTTATCTCCTGCTACACCGTGGCATACTATTAAATTTTTGTAATGTCTCTTCTGTTCCAAATTTGTGATCATTATGAATAGATAGACATATTTATAAGGCCTAAAATGTTTTGGTCAGTAAAGTAAAGCATTAATCTAAACATTTTCCCCCAAATTGCTGTCTTCTCATTTGGCTGAATTTTACAAGTTAGTTCAGGTGGGAATAGACTTTTAAATATATAAATCATTTAATAGTCATCCCTGTACCCTGACTATCTATCTATCTATCTATCTAGATAGATAGATCTTTATTTTCTTGGGGAGAGTGATTGTTGGTGAACTTCCTTGTAGAGATCCTGGTAATTTAATGTGAATTAAAGGGGGTGATGCAGGTACAATCACTGTATATCACCTATTTTTTGTATAACCTGCTAATTTTTATATTCTATGGTAATGCTAATATTTTCCCAATGTCTGTCATTTCTTTGTATTCAGGGTCCCAAATTTGTTGCTGCAAGTCAAGCGGCCTTAGCATAAAAACATCACAATCACAAGGATCTCAGGTAACTATATACTTTGTATTTTTAAAAAAGTAATTATAATTGTTATTATTTTAAAAAAGCAAAGATGACTGAACATTTGTCAACAGTCATATAGATAAGTACCAACCACTACTTTTAGCTCTTTGTATATATTAACTTATATAATTATTTAAAAAATATCTGAGTTGGGTACTCTTATTATTCTCATTTTGTAGATGAATAAATGGTCACATAAAGGCATGGGTTATATAATATATTTACCTAAGGGGCAACCAAGCTAGTAAGAGTTGGAATCATATTTCAAAATTCCAGCAGGAATTGAGTTAACCATTGTTCTCTTCTGACATATGTGAACTGTGTGCAGAGTCCTCTCAGTGATGCCTCACCAGCAGAGACTCTAGTGTTAGAACCATATGAAAGAACATTTTGCAGATTAAAAACAGTTGAATATCAATGGTTTCACATGGTTCAACCTAATAATTTAATAAGCAATCTATCTTACATTAACTTCCAGTGTAGAATGATTATCACCCTCCTAAATTTTTAACGTGTCAACATGCTGATATAATAGAATTTAATATAATAGAATTTTTTCTTCTTATGACAAAAGGTCCACTTTAAAACATGGACATTTGAGCATAAACATGTTTGACTATTTTTTGGAACAGAATTTAAAAAATAGAACAGCAATGAAATAAAGTATTGGTAAAACCAGGTTATTTGACCGTATAATACTACTTGTGCATCCAAACAAAGAATAGCCATTTTGTATCTCCAAAAATTTGGTCATTCCCAAATGTGATATGTTTCAGTCCTAAGTGGAAAAAATTTCTTCCTAGGGTTCCAAATTTGAGCTATTTGAGATATTTTTTTGTTTAGGTATGACTTAGGTAAGAGTAGGTGGTAGATAGCCCTGAGGAGTGGTGATAGAGGCCTCTGACTTGAGTCTGGCAGAACCATTGAAGAAGAGGGCACTTCACAGCATGTTGGTGTGTCCTGTGCCCTTGCCCAGCAGAAGGGAAACCCAGCTAAGCTTTGGAAGGTTTAAATTGTTTCTGCTGATGGAAATTTCAGAAAGAAAATCAAAGCAATTTAGCATTAGTTGTAACAGATTGGAAAAATATATGACGTTTTACAAACTGCTCTTCTATTTTTCTCCTTTTGTTTTTCAGCCTGTCCAGAGAAGAAGAGAAAGAGACTAAGACTTTATCCATCTGTTTGTCTTTTCTGTTGGTGTAAAATCAACACTCTAAGAAACACAACTTTTTTCAAATGTTTGACCTCTTTGCTTTATGTTGTAATTAATAAAAAATGAAAAGAATCTAATATTGTGGTCCAGGACTGTTATTTTCCAAAAGTGTGTTTCCATACATGAAAATTCTGTGGATCTGTGAAAGTTTCAATTGTCTGTCTCTCACCCCACTTCAGCAGAGGACTTCTAGTTCCTCAGAGGCTACTTCATGAAAAGAAAACTTAATTCTCATCTGAGTTATGGGTTATAAACATTCAAAATAGCCTTTTAACATCATGAAAGAATAACACCTGTGGCAGGGATAGGGCATTTACAGTCTGGCTCCTCCTCACTACTGGGACTCTCTGAGAACTAGTGAGAGACAAAAGAGAGGTGACATTTAAGGTGACTAATTAAAATTTAGATTTAAAATTCTCCAAGTCATTCTTGGAGAAATTTAATGACAGTTTAGGATGACAATACATGAAATGTGTTAGAAATTTGTAGAAGCATTAATGGAAGAGAGGGTTGGGTGATCTGGAGGAACTTATATCCAGTATTGGTTAAAATGTGTTGAACTGATGAAGTACAAGCATCTTTAAAGTTTCTTGTAGGGGCTGGGGATGTGGCTCAAGCGGTAGCGCGCTCGCCTGGCATGTGTGCGGCCCGGGTTCGATCCTCAGCACCACATACCAACAAAGATGTTGTGTCCGCCGAGAACTAAAAAATAAAAAAAAAATATTAAAAATTCTCTCTATCTCTCTCTCTACTCTCTCTTTAAAAAAAAAAAAAGTTTCTTGTAAAGAAGTTAAGGTGTTGTACTCAACACTAAGCCTCTTTTCCCTGTTCCTGGAGGTAATTACTTATACCACACTTTTGTCTAGGAGTTTACATAGTCATTTATAGTCATAATAGTTTGTATTTTTTTTTTAATTTTTACAGGCTTGGTTTCATTCTGTGCTTACTATTTCACAACTCATTCTTAACAAATAGTGCTCTATAGTTTCATTTTAAGTCTGATGCTTGCTCAAGTTGAAAAAAAAAGTCCCTTCTCTTCCTGTTATGTTCTGCACACCCACCATTACATCCCTCATCCCTATGTAACCCCTACTTGGCCTCAGCTCAAATGAATCAAGCACTTAACATATTTGTTGCAATCTCTCCAAAGCAGGAGAGAGCCCAAGGGGACAATAAAGTGTGGGATCTCTGGACGATTTATATTTTTAATATTTCCATCCACTCATTGCAATGATTCCAGATGCTTGGCATCAAAGATGAGGCCACAAACATAAAGTTCATCTCAGTTTCCAAGAAGGGTTTTAGAAAAAGTATAATTTGGGCATAGGTTGCTATGTACAGAGTTACTGCCTTGAAAGACTGAGCAGGACGCGAAAAGACCTAAGACGTCCTCCCTTTTCTTTTGAAACAAAAGCATATTTCTGTTCTTCCTCTGAGGTTTAACTGTGGTGATAGGCTGTGAATGCTGCATTATTTTGATAGTTAACCTAAGTTTATTTTTAAATCATCCTCAGAGGTCAGTCCAAATACTGAATCTTCTGGTACCAGATTAGTGTCTTTGAGTGGAGCAAGGAATCCAGAAATTCATGAGGAACTCAGCAGGACTTGATGAAAAATGTTTCTTTCAAGTTTTTCATTGCTTATGTGAAGAAAGTGCCTCAGCTGACCTTGGCTGAGCTGATGGCCTTCATCAGAAAAATGGCCTCTATGGCAGCCACGTGTTGCCAACTCAGCCAGGACAAGCAACTGGCTTGTGGTGAGGGAGCAATGAGTGTTTTCTTTAGTTTTTATCTGTTTTCTGCTGCTTGACTTGAAGTGGCCTTCTAATTCTCATGTAGAGGAAATGGGAGACGGCTTTAGCAAGCTCCTTCAGTGAGGTGCAGTTGGAGGCAGCGTGAGAACCCAGCTCCAAATGGTTGGCCTGTGGCTAGGACTCCAGTCCTTCTAGAAGGTCTGGTGGAAATGCAGCCAGGCTATGGCACAATGTCTGGGCAAGCTTTCTGTACAGGAAAGATGGAATACTAACCTCATATTTCCTCTTTTTGCTCATCAAATACTTACTTTAATATTGCAAAAGAAAGAAAAAGCTGTACCCTCAATAGACTAAATTTGTCATGTGACTTGAGCCATTCTTATATTTTTGCCTTTTGTAGAACAATCTTATCATTATGATATCAGGGCAATTTGTTCCTTTTTAACGGATATAAAGTATAGAACAGTGTAAATAAATCTCATCTTGTAAAGAGTAAAATGACTTTCCATTTACTAACAGCAATACTATTTACTTTCTCATCACTCATGTCATACAAATAATTATAGATTGAAGTGCTTAAAATTATTTTCTCCTTAACGTCAGAATTGTGAACAAAATCATATATCAAGTTTTATCTTGCTCTTCTTTTTGATCATGGGGAATTATTTGTTAATTGGTTTTCATGTCACCAAAGGTTAGGAGCAAAAGGAGAGTTTCCTGTGATTGTTACCTTAATCAATGATTGGATTCTTCACTGAGAAGCTGTAGGGATGCCAGGTGGTGTAATGATTAAGGAGTGGAGGTTGTGGGGCTGTCTTCCTGTATGTTCAGCCCATTTCACCACTTATTAGTTATGCTACACTGGAGAAAATATGTATGTCACTAAGCTTCAGCTTTTTCATCTGACATTTGAGAATAAAAATTGTACCACCTTTTTAGGACAGCTTTCTTAAACTAGGTAATCTCAGTAACTCATATAGCATTAAGCTGAAATGTAGTATACACACAAAGCATGTTAACACTTATTGAAAGTTTTTTCCTATGCATTTAAGAAGAAAGCAGAAGGATTCCACATTAGGAAAGCCTTCATGGCACATGAATATTGACCCTATTTCTTTTGTGTTAGCTGTGTGTATGTGTGGATATATAGATGTAAGAGAGCTCAGTTTGCACAATTCTTATCTTCAGAAAGTGATCCATTGTATCTTGAAAGTAAGGCTCAACTAGACATACACAGGAAACAACCATGTGCTGATTTTCATGAATCAGGGAAAAGATATTTTTTTCTCCCTTTAGAATTAGGTATTTGGAAGGGTTTCAATAGCTGGTATCAAATAGCTGAAGGACTGTCTTCAACATCAATAAGGTAACATCTGTCACTAAAAGGTAAGATTTATCCCTCCAAAATGGGTAAACACTGAATTTATGATATGGCAACACATGATCCTTCACACATAGCAAAATTTCCTTCAATATTAATTGTAAGTTGCTGGACATTAAAAATAATTACAAGTGTCTGTTCAGGTCCTTGGCTCATTTGTCGATTGGGTTATTTGTTATTTTATTGTTTAACCTTTTGAGTTCTTTGTATATCCTAGAGATTAGTGCTCTATCTGAAGTGTGAGGGGTAAAAATTTGTTCCCAGGATGTAGGCTCCCTATTTACCTCACTTATTATTTCTCTTGCTGAGAAAAAACTTTTTAGTTTGAATACATCCCATTTGTTGATTCTTAATTTTAACTCTTGTGCTATAGGTGCCCTATTAAGGAATTTGGAACCCAACCCCACGAGATGGAGATTAGGGCCAACTTTTTTTCTATTAGACACAGAGTCGCTGGTTTGATTCCTAGATCCTTGATCCATTTTGAGTTAACTTTTGTGCATGATGAGAGAAAGGGATTTAGTTTCATTTTGTTGTATATGGATTTCCAGTTATCCCAGTACCATTTGTTGCTATCCGTTCTCCATTGCATGCTTTTAGCATCTTTGTCTAATATAAGTTAATTGTAATTTTGTGGATTGGTCTCTGTGTCCTCTATTCTGTAGCATCGACCATCGATTGTAACCCAATCGACAAATGGGCCAAGGACCTGAACAGACACTTCTTAGAAGAGGATATACAATCAATTAACAAATACACGAAAAAATGCTCACCATCGCTAGCAATCAGAGAAATGCAAATTAAAACCACTCTAAGATACCATGTCACTCCAGTAAGAATGGCAGCCATTAAGAAGTCAAACAATAACAAGTGCTGGCGAGGATGTGGGGGGGAAAAGGTACACTCATACATTGCTGGTGGGGCTGCAAATTGGTGCAGCCAATTTGGAGGGCAGTATGGAGATTCCTTGGAAAGCTGGGAATGGAACCACCATTTGACCCAGCTATTCCCCTTCTTGGACTATACCCAAAAGACCTTAAAAGAGCATATTACAGGGACACAGCTACATCAATGTTCATAGCAGCACAATTCACAATAGCTAAACTGTGGAACCAACCTAGATGCCCTTCAATAGATGAATGGATAAAAAAATGTGACATTTATACACAATAGAATATTACTTAGCACTAAAAACTAACAAGATCAGGGCATTTGCAGGGAAATGGATGGCATTAGAGCAGATTATGCTAAGTGAAGTTAGTAAATCCCTAAAAAACAAATGCTGAATGTCTTCTCTGATATGAGGGAGGTGACTCAAAACAGAGTAGGGAGGAAGAGCATGAGAAGAAGACTACCACTAAACAGGGAAGAGAGGTGGAAGGGAATGGGAGGGAGAAGGGGAATTGCGTGGAAGATGGAAGGAGACCCTCATCGTTATACAAAATACATATATGATGGTGTGAGGGAAAAAGAAAAAAAGAGAGAGAGAGAGGAAGAAATGTGTCACAGTAGATTGGGTAAAGAGAGGTGAGGGGAGGGGAGGGGAGTGGAGGGGGGGATAGGGAGGGCAGCAGAATACAACAGACACTAGTATTGCTGTATGTATATACGTGGCTGTGTAACCAATGTGATCCTGCAATCTGTACACATGGAAAAATGAGAATTCATAGCCCATTTGAACCAAATGTATGATATGTCAAGATCATTGTATTGTCTCAAGCAACTAATAAAAAATAAAAATTAAAAAAAAGAAAAGAAGGAAAAAAATAAAAATCTTGTAAAAATAAATAAATAAATAAAAATAATTACAAGAGTTTTTTAAAAATCTGAACCAACTTTGTGACTAATGTCCCATCTCCTTGCTTTCTTC